GCTTATATTCCAAAAATATCATGAATTTAGTTGATGTATAGGTATTTTTAATCAGTTGACTGATGATTCGTCGGTTGTTAGCACATTAATCCGCTATTCTATTTCAATTTTGGCGTTCAAAATTGGCTTCCAGCGGCTGTTATTCCGCATAGCGGTAATCCTCGAAACGTGCTCTCGATACGTGGGGACAGGGGTGAAATTCTAGGTCTGTGTCGAGGTGAAATCCTTACAATTCCACCCGGCATCGACCGCTCGAATTACACCTGAGACCTCCCCTTTCACTCACGTCCCGCTTCAGACAAAGAATTTCAGAATGAAAAAAATGATAGATAATATTTCAACTATTACACTATTATTTTATAGGTACCTATACTCAGTGGCAAGTAGTCTGGGGTGGATCTGAAATGCTGTGGATTGGCTATTTCCAACATACAAATCATTCAACTAGGAAAAAGCCAAAATACTCAAAGTGGAATGAAATGGTAACAAATAGGGAAAAACTCAAAGTCATTGTTATATTATGTTCATAATTCAATAAACACGAGCACAAATGACATGGACAAGGGTTACACCTGCTCACAACTCGGCTGCCAGCCGAATACTATATGAACCAGTCTTCACACACGTCTGTCATAGGCTCTGATCTAAGCACATTCCACTGAGCAGTAGCGCATCTAGTTGCTAGATGCTAACAGGCATTGTACCAAAATAGTTCCTAAAATGGCGAGAGAAAAACAACTAGCATATAGCCAGGAAAGTATTAGTTTTTCTCTCGTTTCCTACCATTTTCGTTCATCTCATAAAATATTGTTGTAATTACTTCGAGTTTTTCCATCTTTGTTGCCATTTCATTTCACTCTGAGTATTTTGGCTTTTTCCTAGTTGAAATAACGTCAGTCGGACAATCAGCCACTCCTACTTCATCCGATATGGGAATTACAGTCTTGAAGTGTTGCTTTCCTTCTCCATTGTGACAATTTTGCAGTGGTGGAACGCCTCGTGGGCATTTAATGCTGAGAGGTGTTAACGTTGGATCAGGTTCGCACCAGATGGCGGTCATGAATGCCATATGGGGACACCCCTGCTCTGATGAGAGCCAAAAGCTCGAAAGCGGTCTGTAGGTAGTCAAGTCGAGCGGTCCTGTAGAATTTAAGCACAACTCGGTATTTGGGAAAGAAAAACTTACAACCTGTATTCTTCTATACAAATCGTTGCATAGATTTCGGGAAGATGTAATTCAAAATTTTGCGTGGCATGTAGCCAGGAAATTAGTTGTTTTTCTATCGTTACCTACCATTTCATGAACTATTGTGGTAATAATACTAATCATTGTTTTTATGGCATATTATGACACACTAGTGGAGTGCTTCTCAGTTCTATGAAAGAAATCGGTTTTTGTAAAGATTGCAAGAATACCCAGCCCTGAAGAAAAAAAAATCAAGATTTAGTGCCCACCATGGTGGAAATATAATATGGTGTGCTACTCAGGTATCTTGTATTCGTCTTTTCTGCACATTACCTCATTGCAAGTCTATACTCGCACCAAAATGATCAGGGCGACTCGGGTGCCATTGTTTTACTCACAGTGACGTATACGAAGACCCGTTGTAGCACAGCATATTACCATGGTCATCAAAAGGGGCTAGAGAAAAATTGTTGAAACTTTTTATCGTGTATTTCAATGAGATGAATTGATTTTTGTGAAAATTGACATGTTTTCACTCGCAAAAATACCCAGTCCGCAATAGTTTATGAAAAAACGCACGAGGAAACGTTCTTCCAAAGGAGCTGAGGAAAAACCATGTCATATTCCATAAGGACTTTCTTCTTAGAAGTTCATTGATGCCACATTTCCAAACATTCCATCAAAGAACCGAGAACAGTAAATCGAACAATATGAAATTTCCACCCAAAAATCACCCTACTGTATTTTAAATGATATCCCTAATCCTAAAATTTGAAAAGATACATTGTTCCATTTGAAAATCAATATTTTAGATTACCTCCGGCAAAAAAAATAGAATAGCATTACTAATGTCATAGATTAAAGACTCCCTGATGTGAAATATCGTGCTTTTAATTCAGTTTAAAAAAATATTCTGATAGAGGTATAATTAGATATTAAAATTGGCAGCATACACTTCTCTAAGCGAAATTACAAGAAAATTATTGATTGCATAATTTTTTGAATCACCTGTCAACAATAATTACTATCAACTAATTTTGTGTATATACGCGAAAAATTCCCACTTTTTTGCCTTCAGAGTAAATAATGTCCTTATATCCTTTGTATTAATGGTATTACTCACTGAGTTTTTTATCATAACTGGTCTGAATGTTGGTATGAGCGATGATAGAGTGATAATAATGATAATAATAATAATTATTATACTAATATGTATTTTGTGCCTTACAAATATTGATTTTTACAGTGCATAGATCACAAGTTCCAATAACAAAAGTAAAAACGAAACCAAGGACGGCAACGATTGCTCATCAACCAAAAAGAGTACAATTCGTCAGTGAGTAATTAGGTGTTGTCTTTTTGCACCTAAGTTCAGTTACATCGTATACATGCTATATTATTTCTTTGTTATATGTTTTATTGCACATAAAAGTATTATGTTTTTTATTTATTTTGTTTTGCTTTATTATTTCCCATTCTAAATTATACAGGGTGTTTAAAAATCATTGTTGAAACATTTCTGAGGTATGAAAAAAGTTTCTGTAAATATTCGTCTCAAAATGTTTTCCAATGAAGCTTCCCTTGAAATAGTATACACACTGATATCCGGTACATCCGGGTGTATCATCGCATAAAGTTTTGATGCTCAATCAGGATTTCAGCTCAGAATTTCAAAATAGGGGCGTACCATAGTAGAAGGGTTAAGGGTTAAGGTCTCATGTGTTTTCATCATCAAACCTTTTAACGATCTCATTTTGTTTTACGACTAGCCCCATCTTTTTTGTTTTTACCCTTTTATGCGTGTCCTTTAGCAGGAGCGTAACTCCCATATCAGCAAATATTCATATATTAACTATTTTTTATAAAAATTCCCCAATAGTCACCCCACAATTTCTTCACCAATGTTTAGAAAACATCCTGTATATCACTATTGGTTTGGTTTATTTTGTATGCCTATGTTTTCAGTGCATCGTTTTCAAATATTTTCGGTTTTTTTACCGTGTAGGTTAAGAAATGTTGAACCAACTGGTATATTCCAAGTCATCCTGAAACCCCTGAACGTTATGGAAGAATAATTATGAGTTGAATCTCAACTGTCTGAGAAATGTCCATTACTAGAGCACTCTAAACTGCTCAACAATGGAAACAAACGTAAAATCGAAAATTTTCTGTCAATTTTGATTCTTCATAACTTTCGATTGCCTGAATCGATTTTCAATTTCTATTCAGTTTCTGCATGTCCGTTTCATTGACTATCGGACCTATGAAAATGATATTATTGCATCTCTCCGGAATGAGATTCTACAGACTGATGATCAAAGCTGTGCAATTTTTCAAAAATTTCTAATGGTTAGCGCATGGAAGGGACATTTAATCTAAAGTGAAATACATATAGCATCATCTGTTTTCTCGAATCGATTTTCGGCATAATTATGTCCATGAATTCCAAAACCGTTTCGAGAGAATTTACCATAGAAAAAAATTTTAGAAATTTTCATTTCAAACGGGAGACCTTGAAATTATGGAAAATTGCACAGCTTTGATTATCATCATGTTGAATACTCATTCTGAAGGAAGACAATAATCATTTGGATAGCTTCAAGAGTCAATGAAACGGGTATTCAGAAACTGAAACGACATTGAAAGTCTTTTGAGGCAGTCGAAAATCATGATTGAATTAAAACTAATATAAAAAATTCGATTTTACGATTCGAGCATTGAACAGTTTGTTATTCCCTTTCTATAAAATAAAAATATGAATATTATTTCAATATACGTGTAGTAAGGAGGAAATCAGATGATTTGCCCCAAAATGTCACTGCGTTTAAAGAATTTTCCTATCAGAGAGCCTAAAAGAAAAATTCACCAGCTTGTCAGTGACGATTTGTATTGAAGAAAGTTTGGAGAAGAGAAATGAAGGTCGAAAAGAATCGAAGCGATTTTAACGAACACAACAGCCAGGATAAGGAACTTCGACTATGTTTACACTGTGACTCTGCATTCTAGCATCTGGCATGCATAAAGTTGAAGCAGATACGATTACACTGACCATATAAGACAACTCTGAAGGGTTTATAACGAGTACTACAGTACAGAAAAAATATCAAATTGTTACTTAGCTTTGGACTTTTCGGGAACGAATCTGCTCCCGTTTTCAACTTAAAAAATGGATTTTTTGTATCGTAAATTCGTATTTGTCCTGACACTTTTCAGTTCTCAGTGACAATTGAAAAGAGTCAGGACAAATACTTTTTTCCGATGCAGAAAATCCATTTTTTATGTTGAAAAGGGGAGCAGATTCGTTCCCAAAACGTCCAAGGATAAGTGGAAATTTGATATTTTTTCTATATATCTGCATTCCTCTTCTCCAAACTTTTTTCAATACAAATTGTCACTGACAAGCTCTCTGATAGGAAAATTCTTTAAACGCAGTGACATTTTGGGGCAAATCATCTGATTTGTTCTTACTACACGTATATTGAAATAATATTCATATTTTTATTTTATAGAAACGAGGAGAGAAAATCCCAAAAAATCTGGAATAATGAAAGTACCACCTCCTCGATTAACCTACAGACAGTATATATTGAACAGTTTATTTGAATTTGACATCATTTTATTACAGACTGTTTCGGTAACGAAACACTAATAAATTTTTTGAACTTGTTGCTTGCTCAATCCAAAATGTCAAATTTAAATAAACTGCTCAACACTCGAGACGTGAATTCAAATGTATATGAACTTCTTGCTTGGTCAATTATTCATCATAATTATTTTGTCTGAAGAAGTGTTAATTGTGAAAAATATGCTTCAGCCACCGAGGTGCGATGCCAGGAGAAGACCAGGGGCGGCCTCAAGTACGAGGTGATCCTCGGGGAGCCCGAAGTGAAGGCCACCCCGCCCAAGAAGCAGGTGTCGCCGAAGAACAGCATGTCTGTCCAGGATATCGAGGAGAAGCTGAAAGCTGCCGAAGAACGTAGACAAGTAATGATTTCAGGTTTTTTTTATGGAAACGTCGAAATGACAAATTGAAATTTTGCTCACACTGTATGAATTCTGATGAATCTGATAATGTCACTCCGAAGTTACTAACAGGCCTATTCAGTATCTCATTACGTTATCGTTACGTGTCGTTAGTGGATGACATATCGTTAAATAACGATAATTTTCTTGAATCGAATTCACTACCGATTTGACAGTCGGTAACGAACGACAAGCTGTCATCAGAATATCGTTTATAGACGAAGTATCGGTAGGATAACATGATCACAAAAACAATGAACGCATAATATCCTCTCATCTATCGGTTTTCTTTTGGAGATGGATCCAGTCAGTCTTTTTTAATTTTCAGAAGGGTTTTAGAGGAGTAAAATATGAATATTTGTTGATATTCACCGTGTATTTCGATTCAGACAAGTGAATAAAAATTTGAATAGACGCTTGAGGGACGCTAGTAAACCATTCGAGAGTCCTATGAAGGAAACTTTCGGAGGAATTGTCGGTTACCCAGAGAGCTATAGTTTGGGGGGTATTCTCTCATAATATGTTGCAGTATCCCAAGGAGGCCAGTAGGAATACTAGTATATAGCATCAGTTGTTAAAAATATAATCGGAAAGTACCTACCTACTGATGTACCTATCTGTTGTTACCAAAAATCTACAGAAAGAGACAAATCATGTGCTATGTCCCAAGCAGACATACTTCTAGACAATTACCTCACTGTATCAAATCTTCAAGATATTGTATTTGTAAAAAATGGGTATGATTTCAAGTTACAAAATAGGTAGATTGAGAAGTGAATTATTTGAAACACTAAATTATCTCCTATCTCCTATTTAATTTTTTTTCAAAACCCATATGAAAATAATACATAGGTACTGTTCTCCATTGCTTTTCATCCCTCATTGGGCCTCTGGAACTATTCAATCATAGAACCAAACCACTCGAAGTTCCTTCCAGGATATTGGGGTTTAGGGGTTCATATTGATTTGATCGAAATTATTTATATCCCTGCAGTTCCTCCACGTATATTCAAATAATAACAAATCACTGTCGAATTGTCGTTACGATAGTTGTTATCTAACTCAATCATGGGCTGTCCCAAGCAGATGTATTTATGAAATATCAGACATACTTGCAGAGAATTGCCTCACTGTACCAAATCTTCCAGATATTGTATATGTTGGGAATGGGTATGATTTCAAGTTACAAAATAGGTAGATTGAGAAGTGAATTATTCGAAACTAAATCATCTCATATTTTGTTTTTTTCAAAACCCATATAAGAATAATACATAGGTACTGTTCTCCATTGCTTTTCATCCCTCATTGGGCCTCTGGAACTATTCAATCATAGAACCAAACCACTCCAAGTTCCTTCCAGGATATTGGGGTTTGTGGGTTCATATTGATTTGATGGAAATTATTTATATCCCTGCAGTTCCTCCACGTATATTCAAATAATAACGAATCACTGTCGAATTGTCGTTACATATTAGGATAACGATAGTTGTTATCTAACGACTAGTAAAATAAGGACTTTTTACTGAATAGGCCTGTAAGTACTATTTGGCGAAATTCACCAATTTGGTCCATCATCACCAGTAGTCGAAAATTTCTTGTTGCTAAATTCACAGAGAATATAAATGTGATGAGGATATTATGTTGTGTTGCTTAATTCACCTGGTGAGGTTGAAACTGTCATCAAATATGAGTTCTGTATGCACTTTTATCACTTTATGGGCATTTGTTTTGGCGGGTTCATGTGATTTAATAATTAGTATAAATCTTTTGTTACTGAAATAAGCCTCAATAAGTTACTGCAATCTAGAAGCAGTGTGTGATAGTAGGTACTACAGACTCTAGTTCATCGTTATCAGATTATAATTTACAAATCCTACCAGTAATTAAAACATTGTACAGGGTGATTGTTTATATTTTACTCAATGGCTAAAAAATTGTACTAAAATTGTTCTTATCCATCATTCAGTTGCTCCCTTACGAGCAACCCTCAGAAGTCTTCAAGAGACTTGTGCGAGCAAGGAATGACGGGGGCCTTACCTTTTAACATGTGATCCCAAACACTTTCTTAGGCCATCAGAAAAATTTCTGCAGTCGTGGTGGGAATCAAACCCACTACCGGTAATCCAACGTGAATAGAACATTGACGCTCTAACCACGAAGCTACGCTGGCCTCATGTTCAAGATTCAGAATTTTGATCACCCTGTATCTGTTCCGATTAAATATCAGTAAGTAGTAAATCAAAAGTTAAGATAGGGACATGTGAGCAGTTTTGGCCGATAATACATAGTTTCGACACAAACAAATCCTAAAGTTGAAAAATCTCGATTTTTAACACCCTATATATCTCTGTAATCATTTCCTATAGACCCTTAGTGTGATGTACCGATGAAATCAGCTCTTCAGGGAGAATCTGAAAATGCAATAAAATACAGGGTAGGTATACTATATTTGAAATAACAAAGTTGTTGCTACTTTTTGATAGAAGCGGCAACACTGAATTGTCGAAATTTTTTCAAATGGAGAGAGCGTATTCTGACAGATTCCAGACATTTTCATGGATGTCTCCCGACTGATTCTCGATATAGAGATAGTTCAAGCTCGTCGAGACATACCCTGTATTTTGTTTTTATCTGTACTATGTTTTGGTCTATCATCGACATGATTTCAGCAATTGGAATCGAGCAAAATGGCTGCTCTCTCAGCGAAAATCTTGAAGATCGAAGAGGCCAGTCGCAAGAAGGACGAACAGACAACTCAGTTCATATCGTCGACTCGGGATGCTCTGGAACAGAAAATGGGACACCACGTGGAAAAGAGAGAGGCTTACATCACCGATTTGAGGTCCAAACTCAAGGTAACAAATTCTTTTCACTTTTATTGATGACTTTTCCCCTCGACAACCAATCAGATAGCTCATGTCATGGTATTATTACAGCTATAATATTTATAAACAGTGAAAACACAAGAGCTTTTTTTATCGGATAAATATTTCTCTTGGTGACGAAAAACATTTGCCAATCAGTAATTTTACGAGGAAAACTGACATGAAAAGATTGCGAGACCGTAGGTCTAATGTCAGTTTTTCGAGAGAAATAACTGATGGAAAATGTTTGAGTTAGTAAAAAAATTTATCCAATTAAAAAAAAAGTTCCAGTGTTTTTTGACAAGGTAAATCAACGACAATATATATATATATATATATTTTATCGCTTGGAGCGCACGAAAGGGAATCCCTATAATGTTCAAAGAATACAACTCTGATACTATTTTTCCAGGAAATATTCGTCGAATGACTTTTATTCCAGCTTGCTAATAACATTGATTCAATATTATTCGTCTACCGCTCTATAGTTTTTAAAAATTTGTCATTTGCGAAATTACTAGGCAACAAAATATCGTAACATTCGCCGAATATTTCCGAAAAAAAAAAATAGTGCAAGAATGTTCTTGAGTGCGGTAGTTGAACGTTCTACCTGCCTGACCAATATACACTGTGTCCAAGATAAGGAGAGCCAGTAGATGGGAATCTGGGAAACTACGAGCGATACAGATTTGGTTAAATAAGAGAAACTTTGCGAGAGTCAAGGACCAAAAAAATTACTTTAAAAAATCTCTGATATGACTGTTTGGTATTCAGTTTCCAATAAACTGAATTTCCGGATTTTCAATTTTATTTTTTTCTGGCGTTAATAATGAATTTATAACAACACTGAAAGAATATCTTCATATCAATGTTTGGTGCTATACAATTTGTCATCATCGATTTTCTGGTCCAACTTCTTTCAAATACGGCCCTGTCATCTTGATATCAGATTCGACGTGTTATTTGTTATTGAAGCAAATTTTCCTGTTGATTAATTTCGATCATGTCTGGTGGTGTATAGTATATTATACAATATTCAGGAATACATTTTATTATTTTTCTTGGTGATTTTGAATGTTCATTTGATTTTCACTCTGCTAATATTTGTACTATCGATTTCACATCCACGCAGTCTAGAACTTTCTGAAAGTTGAGTTTGATTGATTAATATATTATATAATTGACTAAATTGGAACTTGAGATGTTTGGGGCACATAATTATATTAATTATAAAACTGATTGATCACTTTCAAGAAGACTAGTTAATTTTTCATCATCCACCCAATATTTGTTCAGAAATTAACTGATTGTTTTGTTTGAAACAATATTCACCATACACACAAACACAAGTTTTTTTCAGTTCTGAATTGACTTGAAACTTTTTCTGACTATTGAAATAATAAGTTTTCTTTCACAGTTAAAAAAATACATTCTTCATGGTAAAAGAGCACTGGTTTTAATAATTGGTCCTCTCCCATTCAAACTCCCTGTAAATAATATTAATCGAAAACATGAATTTAATGGCTGTGAAATTTAACCGGCTTAGTGTTGTGTTGAGAATAAAATAGGTACTGCACCATTGTATTAGGGTGAAAGAACATACAGGAAATGTTTCTGGTTGATTAGCTGGAAGAAAACAATGACATGAAGGATCGTTAAGTTACCAATTGAATGAATTATTCTCAGCCTCCATTGTCCATTATAATGACATTTTTCTCACCATCCAAATGGAACGAAGTGACTATGGATTGAACTGTTGCAGAAAATAATGTTCTATTGATGAAGAAATGTAAACGGTCTTCAAAAAAAGTAATATTTCTTTGGTTTCAAATTTTATGTTTTATTGAAGTGTTCCAGAAGAGGTCCCGTTATAATATTCATTCAAAATATCACCAAAATTGAAACAGAAAGTTCTTATGCTCTTCATGCAGACGATACGATAATTTTAAACGAACATAGAATCTGTAGTAGGTATATAGAAAATATAATCAACAAAGACTTGATATAATTTGAAAACTTGTTTCATTCAAATATTTTATCAATGAATAGTAATAAAACCAAATACACGATTTTTCACCAAAAAATAAACAAAATAAGAGCCTGATCTCCAAATTGAAAACAAATCATTGAGATAAATGAAGAGAAAAGTATCTTGGGATTGGTTGGATTTTGAATTCAAATGGGTAACATGAAAAAATATCTCTTATTATTGGAGCTCTAAGAAGATTTCCAAAACTTGATAAAAAATGCCAATATAATCTTTTTGACAAAGTTTGGAGATACTGTTTAAACATACAGCATTTTTAATAAAATTCTTCATTACATAGTCATCGAAAGCACTGCATTTTTTACCCTATGATACTCCAACCAACCAATTAGGTATATGAAGTAACAGAAACATTTTCATTAAATGAAATGAAATTGGAACACAATTTTCAAGGAATATCATGTCTGGTAAAAAATATAATCAAATCCAAGTATCAACTGAATAAACTCTTCATTTCTGAACGAAATAGATGAATTAACGTTTAACTCTAATGTATATTGGTCCTTGTTCACCAATAAAAGATAAAGTAGTATTATTTCCTCACTTCGATTGTTAAATAAATAAACTGGGCGTCAATTGAAACGTTAATAGTGAAATTTGGCATCAAGTTTGACTTCTCGTAATTTCTAAAATATTGAACGAATTTTGAATTGCCGCCCAGATTCTGAATGCCTTTTTCATCGTCTTTCGAACCGTTCCTTACAGCTTCTTCTAAATTGATCAGGACCCGTGATACATGGTGAAACAAAGTTTCGTGCATTTTGAAAAGAATTTCTCCGTCCCCCCATTTTGTCGGAAGACCACGATGCTCATATTTTATTCATGCATTTCATAAATAGCAACCATACCTCGGGACGTTTTCGAGTTTTTGCCAAAAACTACTGTGGTTACCGAAAAACATTCTTTTTTGTTTTTTTTTTAAATGGACTGATTACCTGTATCCTCAAAACGATGAATCAGTCTATTTATTGTCATGACTGACTCATTGAAAATGGTACTTAAATGATTTTGGGTATATCCTAATCGTCATAACCTGAAATATTAATTATCTATACTGAATTATAGTTTATATCACTATAGTGATCTTACCTAATGATATTTTCCATTTTGACCCTATTTGAACGAGGCATCTTTAAATTTTTTAGGACCTGAATTACACTGACGTTTTCATGAAAATTGGCAATTGATATAACCTTTATGCATACCTATGTTGTTTCAACAATACCTTGTTATAGAAACAAAATCAAATATATAGATTTCAAAAACTACAGAACCGATCAATGCGCATAATCCTTTCATGCAATAGACACACTCCTATTACGACAATGTTGAACAGACTAGAATGGTTGCCAGTTAAAGATTTTTTATTGTACCAGACACTCATTTTTGTATACAAAATAAGCAATGGCACTGTACCGGACTACCTGAGGGATAAAGTGAACTATAATTTCGAATATCACCACTATGAAACGAGATCTAGAAGAGATTTCCACATTCCTCAGTTCCAAAAAAGATTCATGCAAAACTCGATATTTTTCAAAAGCTTAAGAGCATTCAACGAATTGCCAACTGCAATAAAAAGTGCACACTCTCTCAATTGTTTTAAAATCACTCTGAAAAAACATTTGTTGGAGGAAAGTAATCTCTAATGTGAATGATTGACTTTATTTTATTTTTATTGTAATGTAATGTTGTTTGACATATTTATGTGTTTTATGTACAATGTATTAGTTTTTATGACTAAATAAACGGATATATATATAACAAGGTATCGTTGTTTGTTTTTGTTGATGAGATGTGTTGATTTACTGCTCACTAAGGTAGAAAACTTTTATTATAGACTGCGAAGTATTAAATTATTGATTGTTTTTGAGTAACCTGGTATACATATCTGCTCCAACGCTTTCCTGAAATGCATAAAAGCATCCATTCATGGAACTCCTCGAAAATTAGTCCATAAAAAAAAATACAAAAACATTTTTTTTTTTTTTCGGAAACCACAGTAGTTTTTGGCAAGAACTCGAAAATGTCCCGAGGTATAATGGCTATTTATGAAATGCCCGAATAAAATATGAGCATCGTGGTCTTCCGACAAAATGGGGGGGCGGAGAAATTTTTTGTTTCACCCTGTATCATGGGTCCTGATCAATTTAGAAGAAGCTGTAAGGAACGGTTCGGAAGATGATGGAAAAGGCATTCAGAATCTGGGCGGCAATTCAAAATTCGTTCAATATTTTAGAAATTACGAGAAGTCAAACTTGATGCCAAATTTCACTATTAAAGATTCAATTCACGCCCAGTTTAATTGAATGAATAATTTAAATTCTCAAATTTCAGTTGTTTGCATAATATAAATTAGTTCATATTGAATGTGACGTTTTCTATGAAGATTGAATGATGTTGAAATTCCAATTTTAGGATCACATTGAAAACGTAGAAAAAACTCGTCTATCGCTGGAACAACAAACAGAAGAAGTGCGGACTCAAATCGAAGAGAAACTCAAATGCGCCTCTCAACAGAGAGATGACAACATCAAAAAGATGCTGGAGCGTCTAAAGGAACATGTAAGTACAATTTGTAAGTTGTATTTGTAATGGAGTCTAGGGCATGTAATACTATTATTGACATACATTAAAATATATGAACACATTTAGTAGTACTTATCAATCATCTACTTGGCCATATCAAATTATCTGAATGTTTTTTTGTTGTTGCAAAAACTACTGTTATATCATGTATTTACCACTCATTCTTCATCAGCTGCAATTTTGAAAATGTCGGCACTTATATTTATTGCTTGCATGTATTTGTGCTGGATTATACAGGAAGAGCAAATCCAAAAAGTGAGAGAACAAAATAGTAACAAGCTCCAACAGTTAGATACCACAATTACCGAAAAACTGGTACAAGCCCAGACGAGGAAAGAACAGAGAGAACAAGAACAGAAGGAAAAACTGAAGAACCACGTGAGTAGTTTTTTTTTCTTTAATTTTCGCTTTATCAACATCCATAATCTTCAGATATCAGTATGAATTAATTTTCAAGTAACAACAATGAAAACAAGATCATATATTGTGCGTTTGTATTTATATTGTGTCCTTTTGAGTTTTCCACTTTTCCACAGTTTTACTGTTGATTAGAATTTGATATTTGTAGGCAATCTTCAATGGAGGCAAAAGTGAAAATTTATCTGTTGGTTGGCAAATGAAACAAAATCATCTGTTGAGCTATTTCTTATTTATCTTTTACTGTCAAAATAAAGAAGTTAAAGGGGTGATACTTAATAACGTATCACCCGGTGCACTGTAATTGAAAAAAATTTAGGACTGTTTCACCAAGGTTTGTGAGAAATACGTATGTGTACAGATATTGATGAAGGGTGTTCAATGGTTATGGGCCCTGGCTGACCATAATCAAACATGTACTTGTTTTCGAATTTCTGATATCTGAATAATTATTGTTATTATTATCATCATCACACAAAACCCTCATATTTTCCACTATCTTCTCATCGATTGCATGCATGTATGTGTGCTTGTCATACAGGATGAGCAAGTAAACAAGGTACGAGAACAAAAAACCGTGAAATTGCAACAGTTGGACAACGCGATCCAAGAAAAGTTGGTATTGGCCCAAACTAGGAAGGAGCAACTCGAGCAAGAACAAAAAGAAAAATTGAAAAATCACGTGAGTAGATTTTTTTATGGATCTACTCTCTCAGGAACTGGAAAACGGAGTCAAGTTCAAGTTTGATAAATTAATGTTGTTTGATTGACCGTTTCATGACACAAAATATTTTGACGTGTTGATCATTTCCATAGTTGTTCAGTCAATAAACGGGTTTTAGAGGACATGGAAGATGATATTCTTTTGAGAATAGGGGTATGTTCCGAGTAGATAGGAAGTAAAATTCCTAAAGTCCACGAACCTACGAGGGGAGCCAGAGCAAGGTCCCTTTTTTTGAATTATCGTTCATATCTTAAAAACGGTACGGCACAGCAAAAGAGTCATTTTATTCGAAATTATAAATGATGAAATTGTCTACAAAATTGTATCAGTCGGTTTTTTCCGCTTCTTTCATTGTTTTCGAGATATTCGCTCGCAGATCATGTGAATTTTTGAAAATCGAAATTTTTATCTAGCGTATTTTGACGGCTCAACCTTCAGTTTTTCACCAAAGTCTCCGACGAAGAAGTAACAAAGGATTCAATTACCTTCAAAATGTTATGTCACATAGTATAATTTTTTTAAGTATACAGGGTATGTTCGACGAGCTTATCGACAATCAGTAGGAAGAAATCCATGAAAATGTGCATTCTTTTATTTCAGAATACACTCTTTACATTTAAGATATTTTCGACAATGCAGTGTTGCCGCTTCTACTAGAAAGTAGTAGCAACATTGATATTTCAAATGGAACACCCTGTATTTCATCGCATTTTTAGATTCTCCCTGAAGAGCTGATTTCATCGATTTATCACACTATCGAAAATGATTACAGAGATATAGGGTGTTCAAAATCGAGATTTTTCAACTTTGGGATTTGTTTGTGTTGAAACTATTCATTATCGGTCAAAACGGCTCACATATGTCCCTATCTCAACTTTTGATTCACTATTCACTGATTTTAATCGGGACAGATACAGGGTGGTTCAAGATTCAGAATTCTGATCACCCTGTATCTGTTCCGATAAAATATCAGTAAATTGTAAATCAAAAGTTGAGATAGGGACATGTGAACCGTTTTGGCCGATAATGAATAGTTTCGACACAAACAAATCCTGAAGTTGAAAAATCTTGATTTTGAACACCCTATATATCTGTAATCATTTCCTATAGACCCCAAGTGTGATGTATCGATGAAATCAGCTCTTCAGGGAGAATCTAAAAATGCTACAAAATACAGGGTATTCTATTTGAAATAACAAAGTTGTTTCTACTTTTTGATAGAAGCGGCAACACTGCATTGCTGAAAATATTTTAAATGAAGAGAGCGTATTCTAAAATAAAATTATGCATATTTTCATGGATATTTTCCAACTGATTCTCGATATACAGGGTGTTTCAGATTTAAATGTACATACGGTACCTGTAGATAAGGGACACTGTGATGATTCGAAATCACCCCCCTTTGATCTGTCTACCGTTTTTTATAACTGAGATACAGGATGATATCTTGATTTTGGCAAAATCTTCATCTGGTCATAGCTTTTGAACCACTTCGTATAATCTATCCATACTTGGTAGAACTATTTCACTTATATCACCCATCAAAACTAATTGGAAATCGGGATCAGAATCCAGGTCCGTCTTGAGGAAAAACAGAAAACTTCTTTTATATCAAAAACAACACTTTGTATGTCCAAATTATTTTCTGATATACTCGGCTCCATTTTGAGTCATTTTTATTGAACTCGTATTTCAAAATCCAATTATTTCACAAAATAATAACGTCCTTCGAAGTTTAACACCATTAGGGTGAAATAAATAGATATGTTCGTTCGACAGAATAACGTCTAGGGTTTTGGAAATTTTTGAGGGCTCGTTTTATTCTTCACTATTGATTCATGAGCTGCGGTAAATCTATCCAGAGTTCACTTGATGACGTTCAACTTTGAAGATAATTATTTTTTTGTATCAAAATTGAATTTTGAACTACAGTTCAATAAAAATCCCTCGAAATGGGGTGAATATTTCAAAACATAATAATAAACCATCTGTCAAATTGGATGCGCGCTCGTAATAAGTAGGTCACATTATTCATTTTTTCCTGCTCTTTCCAAATATCAAAACAGATCCACAAGATTTTGCCATACAGAGTGTTGTTTTTGAAATAAACAAGTTTTCTGTTTTTCCTTAAGACGGACCTGGATTCTGATCTCAATTTCTATTTAGTTTTGATGTGTAATATAAGTGAAATATTTCTACCAAGTATAAATAGATTATACAACGTGGTTAAAAAATTATGAACAGATGAAGATTTTGCCAAAATCATGATAACGTCCTGAATCTCAGTTATAAAAGACGGTAAACACATCAATGGGGGTGATTTGAAACCGTCAAAGTGTCCTCTATCTGCCAGTATCGTATGTACATTTAAGTCTGAAACACCCTGTATAGAGATAGTGTAAGCTCGTCGTGACATACCCTGTATACATAACATAGCGTGTTTCACTTCTAATGAAAGCACGCCTGTATCGTTCGTAATTGTTGAGTTATGTTTCTGAAATTTGTAGGAGCGGGAAATATACCGAAAACACTATGACCAAGTAAAGTCATCTTCAGTGATATACACTGCTCGCCAACAGCCATGGAACCATCAACATTTCCGGAAAATGATATTAGGAGGAAAGATATGTTGAAAATCACATTAGATTTTCAGTTTTTAAAAATTAAATTAACATGATTTTCTAGCGAATATCTCGAAAACAATGTAATATACGCAATCAACTTACTAATACAATTTTGTAGATAATTTTATCAGCTACAATTTTGAATAGATTGACTTTTCTGCTGTGACCCACCGTTTTCAAGATATGAACGATAATTTAAAAAGGGAGCTGTTATGTTGCCCGCTGCACTTGTCTATCCCCTTGTAGGTTCAGAGACTTTTGGAATTTTCACTTCCTATTTACTCGGAACATATCCCTAGTCTCAGAAGAGATGTCCTCTTTCATGTTCTCTACAGCCCCTTTTTGGGCGTGCATTGACTGGACTATAGCTTTTTAATTTTTTTAGGAAAAGCGAGTTGAGACTGTCCGCCAGAACAAAGCAGCAATGGCGGCCAAAACCACGCCCTCTTCTGGCTAGGCAGGAAAACTAGATCGATTTTCACATAATATCATTGCTTATGTTCGGTTACCGGAGTTTCGAGATATGAGATTTCGATATTTTCCTCGATCCTTTTGGTAGCTCTAATATCATAAATATTGCTTTTAGACTGAATTATTACGTTTTAGGTTGTGTTTTCGTTTTCTCAGTGTATTTTTATATTGTATTTTACGTATTTTACTTTTATTTTATGTATTTCCAATTTACCTTTTCTGTTTTATATTTTTGGATGGAATAAAGTTTTGTGTTTTAGATAGGTGAAATATATTAAAATGTTCAAAAACGACCAGCTAGCTTTAGCAAAGTGTGGATAAATGCTTTCAATTATTTTAATCTTCATCCTGAATCGGTAAAAAAATTGTACTTTGGGGTTTGAACCACTATAAATCACAAAGTGTACAAACAGAAGATCAGGTATTTTGGTTAATTGGAAACAATTGCGTTTTACCGATTTAGATCGTTTTTCACTAACTGGATTCATTTATATGTGTTCTGGAAGGTCAGTGTAAATTTGTCATGAACAGAATAATATTCCTTATACAGGGTGTCCCATTGGGAAACGGAAAAACTTCAACAGTGGGTAGAGGTCATCAAGGTGGTTCTGAATATACCATATTTGTAGGGTCTCGCAAGTTTTATATCCGAGTTATGGGATGTTTTATCAATTTTGTTCAATTCTTTGTGAGGACATAACTTACGAACCACCCAGTATATTCATTTGGAATTTGGTACACAATTTCGAATTCTTCTACCAATGCGACTCACCTATCAGTAACGAGAAAAATCCAGGACCGGATCAACGAAAATTGATCATATATCTGAACCCCAAAAATATCACCCTGTATTTTCGAATTTCCAAAATCCGCTCAAATATTTGGAAAGTGCATGAAAATCTGAATCGTATGTAATACTATCCATTCTTCCGCATGCTATTTCACTAGGTAATTTCTGATTTTGAATATGAGGTTTCATGCATTTGGATAGGTAAACATGAAATGTTGAGTTTTCCCAATCGAATAACGAAAACTATCACGAATCACCCAGTATATTCTTTTGGAATTTGGTACACAAGTCCTCTTTCTTCTACCCCAGCGACTCACCTATCTGTCACGATGAAAATCCAGGTCCGGATTAACGAAAAATTATGATCTTCTGGGCCCGAAAAAGAACACCCAGTATTTTCGAATTTCCAAAATCCGATTCCATATTTGGAAAGTTCACGAAGAAATGAATCGAATTGTGTACTTTTCAATATCCCGCATGCTCTTTCACTAATTAATTTCTTATTCTGAAAAATCAAAACTTTCTATCTTACCTCGAATTCAAAATCAGAAATTCATTAGTGAAATAGCATTCGTATGAAAATAAAAAGTAAACAATTCGATTCAGCTTTTTGTGCAATTCTCAAATATGTAAGCATATTATGGAAATTCGAAAATACAGGGTGTTCTTTTTGGGTCCCAGAAATATAATGAATTTCCGTTAATTCGGACCTGGATTTTTCTCGTGAATGATAGGTGAGGGGTTTGGGTAGATCAAGGAGAACTCGTGTACCAAATTCCAATAAAATATACTAGGTGGTTCGTGATAATATCATTTGATTGGGAAAACTCTGAACATATTATTTTTACCTATCCAAATGCATAAAACCTCGAATTCAAAATCAGAAATTCCTTTGTGAAATTGCATGCGGGAAAATGACAAGTATACCATCCGGTTCAGCTTTTTGTGCACTTTGCAAACATGTAACCGGATTTTGAGATTTCGAAAATACAGGGTGTTCTTTTTGGTGTCCAAAAATACTATCAACTTTTGTTAATCCGGACCTGGATTTTTTCGTGACTGATAGGTGAGGCGCTTTGGTAGAAAAAGAAGGAATTGTGTACCAAATTGCAAAAGAATATACTAAGTGGTTCGTAAGTTATGTCCTCACAAAGAATTGGGCAAAATTGATAAAACCCTGCAAATATGGTATATTCAGAACCTCCTTGATGAGCTCTACCCTCCGTTGAAGTTTTTCCGTTTCCCAATGGGACACCCTGTATAAAAAAAGAAACAACCGCCTGGTGCTGCCTTTGTATAAACTATAAGGATGATTGGAAATGGGATATGTGCTTATGCTGTAGACCATTTTTGGAAAATATTGTTCCCAAAAGACGCATTTCTGGAAGCCATGAATGGACATAATTTTTCCATAATTCATATACTGTTATAATTTTCTATTTATATCTCAGAACTTGTATGATTTCGAATTATGCCCCTTCAATGGCTTGTTCATTTGATGGTTTTCAAATGATGTTGTCTATATTGGTGTTTCCTAGGAGAGCTCAAGTACAATTTGTACAGTCTCAACCAACAAATGTTCAAGTTGAATTTTTTCCAATGAGGGAACAACATCATTCCAAATTTATCATTCTACTAGCTTCTGTGATGAATTATTTGGTATCAAAATGAATTTATTGTGAAAAGTTATAGTTAGTGGCATAAGAGTACTAAATAATGTGTAGTAGTCACCCAAATCCTAATATTTTCGGAGCTTTGACATGATATTATGTAGGTATTACTGATGGTTTGGAATCAATACATTAAGATTGGTTTTCAGTCACTTCTTGAGTTGTGCTTGAAATTTGATCAATGAATGAGGTGATTTTACATAACAGATTTCACTTTTAGTTGTAAGAATTCAATACAATAATGTCATTTACCTACTTTTAACTAATAATTATGCTTAATAAAAAAATAATACCAAATTAAGGTTCACTTTGCATTTTCCATACCTCTCCTTTGCATTGCTCCTTCAATGAAACAAGAGTGTTAAAAAACCTATGTTATATTTATAAATTATGAGTTATAATCTGACATCTCATCAGTTACTTATAAGTCCCAGATAGTCATCCATCAAAGTTCCAATAGCAAACTGAAAATGAAAAAAAAACTGGTTATACCAAAGTAGTTCATTCAACAATGGCTTAGTGGGTAATTTGAAAATGATAGGCCAAATTACAAGACAAAGTATGATGGGGTCTTTCAATTCTTTTACCATACTTTTCCATGATAGGTGTACCTCAAGGATCCAAGCTTGGACTGTTATTTCTGATATTCATAAATGATATGACTGATTAGCTGACATTGGTGGTGCCCTCAGAGCAGACTCTATTTGAATATAAAACAAAATAGTTATATTTGAAAAATAAATAATTCCCTTGCATATAACTAACTATATCCTTGGTAGCAATACTTCAGTGCAAGTCACTAAATCAAAGGACATCAATGATATTCAGGATGTTCAGTGGAATTCTTTGAAATTTGCATATTATAAATGGAAGGTACAGGAAAAAAGGATGAATGCCAAAAAAAATCCCTGAGGTTCAAGTTGTGAAAGTAAACCTTAAATATCCCATTTAAACAAAGGGGGGAAGATCAGACTGTGACACTTCAAATTAAAATTTCATAGAACAGGGATAAAAAATGATTGTCCTAGTTCAGAGGAAAAAAGATGAATGTCCATATGTCCCTGGATATGTGCATAACTGGATGCCTGTTCATTTTGATATATTTATAGAACAAATGACCTGTTTGTTTTTGTTTAACAACTTTCCCTACAAAAAATTGGTTTGCTCAAGAACTCTATTTTGTGATCTTCATATTTTTTCTCCTAGGCTTCAAATGGAATGTATCTTATAACAAATAATGTTCAATGTTCCCTCAAAAGATCCACAACTCAATACTTGATCCCTAAGAAATAATGTATTTAATGAAATTGTTCTGGATCAGTTAGATTTCAATTATGTACACTTGTAATTAGAGTTTCTAGGCCTGCAGGATATGACATGGATAATATAAATTAAATAATAAGTACTCACAATTCCAGATGCATCCACTCTTGTACCAACAATCTTCAGCCTTATTTCTCCCTCTGCATGTATAACTACATCTTCATCTTTGGTTTTGTAACACTGAGGATTCACATTTGGACAAAACTCCATTTCAGCAGGTATGGAATGATGAGAAATGAAACAAGATAGTGGTCCAATTTCAGCAAACATACCAACTTTATTTACTTGTCTAACAACTGCATCTAGAACTTCACCTTTGAATGGACGAAAAACAATAGCTTTGTACTTGACAGGATACACTACAAATCCTTGACCAGGAAGTATTAGGCCTGCTCCTATACTGTCAATGGTTGTAACAGCTATTACAAAACCATATCTGAAACATGATAATGAGAACTTTTGGAACAACCTACATGATTTGAAGACGTACTTTCCTGTGCAGGTACCTTCCACTTCAGTATATAGTTTTGTTTTCACTTTTTCCAGTAGTTGTGGCCCAAAATATTGGGGATGTAGCAATATCTCATGTTCCAAAGATATCTGAAAAATGCATAACAAAATCAGAATATAGTGATTATAATACATATTGATACTTACATGATAAAACATTTTTCTAGGTTTGAATACTTAAAATAATGTTGAATACTAATTTTTTAAAATATTTTTCTACCATTCAAATTTCAAACAGCACTAACTAACCATACAAATTCCTCTTCTCTATTCGTCAGTTCGGCAGTATGACAACGGATTGATTTCTCCATATTTCCAGCATCGTGAGAAGAAAAGAAACATAAAAGAAGAAGAAGAAGAGAAGAATATTATCAGCTGACAGCACAGCCAAAGAAGATTTAATCTTCTTTGGCACAGCTGATTGTCATAAGTGTGAAGTTAGCAGTTAGTGTTTGTGGAATGATTCACAATATTTAAAAAGTAAACAAGAAAATGTTCAAAAGAAATGATAAACCGAAAAAAAATCGGCCAGCAAAGTCACTGGCACAGGTAAAGATTTCAAAATTTTTTCACGGAATATTTTCTTCTGGATTCTATTCACCTATAATCAAATTTGATGAAATATTTCAGTATGGCCTTTTTGACATTCCCTCTGATTTCAACACAGACCCTGGAGATGATGAGGAGGGAGACAGTGATCTGGAAGCCGAATTGGCTGCTCTTAGTAGTGGCTCAAACCCTACTGTCAAAAAGCCTGTGAAAAAGGTTATACCAGATAGAGAATTACAAGCCATGGTTGCAGATACCATGAAAGACATGGATGATGATGATGATGAGTCAGTAGATGAGAATGATCCAGATTTGTTAGAAGAATTGAATGAACTCACAGGTATGCATACTTCAATGGATTATGAGTCATATAAATAAAGTTTTGCTTTATTCAGGGAGTGCTGAAGAGACAGAAGAATCTCCATCACAAGAAGAACCACAACTTGCCACCTCTGCCAATACAGTTTCAGTTTTATCCAAGAGAATAAAAAACTATGAATCTGCAGAAAAAATTGCAAAAGAATGTGGTGAATCAAGCAAAGCAAGGCGGTATGGCAGAGCTACAAAGACTCTCAAAGATCTTTTGAAACAGGCACAATCTGGAAAACCAGTAAACCTAAATGATGAGAGTGTGCCACCTGAAATTGACCCCAATAAGGTGAAACCTACACCACATCCAGTTGAAATACCCTCAGATGTGCCACTAGTGCCTTCTAGAGCAGCACCTACAATTCCTGAGACACCCAGTGAAGAGACTTCTGTACCTAGAGACCCTGCTGACATTCCTATAGCAGTACAAGAGAAAGTTGAGGAAGTGAAAGCTAACATTGATGAAGAGTTGCTGAGTATGCTTAGTGACAGACAGAAAGAATATAAAGTCGCTGCTCTGAGAGCTAAGAAGTCAGATGATGGTGAAACAGCTATAAAATTTGTGAGGATAGCAAAACAATTTGATTTAGTAATTGAAGCAGTGCAAAATGGGCAACCTGTGGACTTATCAAAAATGCCTGGGCCCCCAGGCGAAGCCCCAACTAGAACAGAGCCTAAAACTGAAGAAAATAACATGCAGCAGACCACATTGCCTGAAATAACTGTCCCTGAAGCTGCTGAAAGTCTCCCTGAGCCTGTTCTGAAAACTGCCACCACTGTCCTTGAAGCACTAGAACAAAGGCTGTCTGTTTACAAGGAACATGAGGCAAAAGCCAAAGAAGAAGGTAACTCTAGCAAAGCCAGGAGACATGGGAGGATCATAAAGCAATTTGAGCAAGCCATCAAGGCTCACAAGGCAGGGAAACCTGTAGCTTTTGATGAGTTACCTACACCTCCTGGGTATGGACCAATTCCTGGCCAAGTTCCTAGTGCTAGTGCTAGTCAGGATGGAGCAGAGGTGGCTCCTAGGCCTGCAGTGGCTGCTCCTGTTGCACCACCCAGGAAAAAAGCAGAGGGTGATGATGCTAGTATTGGTTCAGCTAAAAATGTTCCAGGTAGGATAATGGACAACATGATATTGAACTTGATTTAGCAGTAGGATCATTTTTCTTCTCGATATAGAAATATCCTTCTGATGTTAGGCATCATGTGTGGAAAAGCTCTATATCTATTTCCCTGTTATATTTTTCTTGAGAATGATAAAAAATTATCATTATTATACAGTCTGACCACTTGAAAGCTGAACAGCTCTCTCAAAATATATTTGTATCCATTGATTTGACCTCTTTTGAAGGTAGAGCACAAAAAACTACAATTTTGGGCAAAGTGGACTGAAAACTTAATAAGTAATCATTTTTTTATTTGAAATGATGTACAACTGGTATGATCACAACAATCAGGAACCAATCAGATCTATACAAACTATGTTATGGGTGTTTTCCCATGCCATATATTGGTCAAACAGGTATAACATTCAACTACAGCATTCAGGAACATCAACATCAAATTCAACATTTGCTAACAATATTCTAGAATATATTATTAGTTTTTATGATAACCTGTACCTGTAGAAAATGAGGAACAAATTATTCACCTTTGTTGAATTTGTTCAATCAGAAATGTGCTTGTTAATATTGGTGTAGAATGGAAATATTGCATTGGAATCAATTTGGTCAGACTTCATATATATTTTTTTAGGTGGCAGTGGTTCATTGACTACACATGCACAAAAGCAAGTTCTGATACTTGCAGCCAAACAGAAACAATTCAAAGAAGCAGCCTTGAATGCCAAAAAACAGGGTGATTTGGTGCAAGCCAAGGAATTTCTGAGACAAGCAAAGGGGTTTGAGAAACTCATAGAGGCTGCCCAGGCAGGCTTGCCAATTGATTGGTCTTCTATTCCAGTCTCACCAGATGCAAAATCTCAGCTAGATAATGAGTTGAGTGGATATGAATTCAGTAATAATAAAAAATACAAATATTTAATCATGTGGGTTTGGGGCTAAAAATAGCTTTCAGCATTTTTTGCTGATTGTTTGATGGCTAAATATGGTAAAAATTTGGTAAAAACGCTAACATACTACATAAATTGGCATTTATGGTGCTTGCATAGAATATTGAGTAACCACAAAACACTTCTCACTGGTTGAAAACTGCTGGTGTTGATTATCAATTTAAACCTAGGAGCTGTCCCTCAATAAAAGGTTTGGATTGAACATAATAATAATAATAATAATAATAATAATAATAATTTCATTCTTTGCTATAAACATTAGATTGCATCCCATATAAATATAAATAAATTTTATCAACATTTACAATGAAATAACATGAATAATCAGACAGATTCATATCTGGTATGAGATTATTCATGCATTATTAAATCTGAGTTATTGAAATAAACAACAGATTGGAAAAAAATAATAATAAAACAAAAAGCTCATGAAAACTACATTATGACATGATGAAATAAATTAGTGAATGAGAAATCATTCACTCAGGTTTGATTTTCTCTTTGCAAGAGGATATGTTTCTTGACTGTAATTTTGAACTGGGTGATATTTGTGCAACTTTTAATATCATCAGGTAATTTATTGAATTTTGAGATAGCACCATGAGTGAACTGTTTTTGGCCAAGTGTAGAATTAGCAGCATCAACATGAAACAAGTCATATTGTCTAGTATGATGTTCATGGATTTGAGAATTCCTCACCAATATGAAGTTTGATTTGAGGTGTTTGTTGATAGTATCAAAAGAAATGTTGAGAGTATTTATCAGATAGATGTATTTGTTTCTTCATAAAGTTGATTTCATGGGGTGTCATATGGAAGACAATACAGTACTTTTAATGCTTTTTTATATAGTACAGATATTCTGTTGAAATAATTCTTGAAACATGAACACCAAATATTCATGAGATTGTTCATTTTACTAAGGATGTATAGAACGGTATTTGCTATATTTGGGATAAGTTTTGGAGATCTTCTTAGGGCATCAACTATGGGAGGAATTTTTCCTTTGAGCATGCCAATATGCTTGTGCTAAGTTAACTTTTCATCAATCCAGATACCAAGGTATTTGGTAAAGGCAGTTTGTTTCAATCTTTCATTTTTTATTCTAATATTCAGAAACTAAACAACATAGGAGACTACATTATAAAATGAAAAAAGTTGTGGTAGTGGCAGTCAAATTAGTTTTGAGAAATACCTACCAATGTCCTGTAATAAGTGTCAATCAATTCTGTGACATGCTTTTCTGTATGACCATGCTTGATATATGTCATTTTATCCCCCTCAAAAGAGAATGGACAATGAAACCAATTTGCAATGTTGCTGATTGATTTCACCTTTTGGAACTACAGTATATTCCATATAAGAATAAAGTAGATGGAGTTATTAGTTAAAATAGGTTTCAGCATTTTTTGCTGATTGTTTGATGGCTAAATATGGTAAAAAATTTGCTAAAAATGCTAACATACCACATAATTTGACATTTATGGTGCTTGCATAGAATATCGAGTACCACGAAACACTTCTGGCTGGTTGAAAACTGCTGGGATTAATTATCAATTTTAACCTAGGAGCTGTCCCTCACTAAAAGGTTTAGATTGAACATGCAGAACTGAACAAATTTCAGGAGACTACATTATAAAATGAAAAAGTTGGGGTAGTGGCAGTCAAATTATTAGTTTTGAGAAATACCTACTGATGTCCTGTTATAAGTGTCACTCAATTCTGTGACATGCTTTTCTGTATGACCATGCTTGATATATGTCATTTTATCCCCCTCAAAAGAGAATGGACAATGAAACCAATTTGCAATGTTGCTGTTTGATTTCACCTTTTGGAACTACAGTATATTCCATATAAGAGTAAAGTAGATGGTGTTATTAGTTAAAATAGGTTTCATCATTTTTTGCTGATTGTTTGATGGCTAAATATGGTGAAAATTTGCTAAAAATGCGAACATACTACATAATTTGACATTTATGGTGCTTGCATAGAATATTGAGTACCACAAAACACTTCTGGCTGGTTAATTATCAATTTTAACCTAGGAGCTATCCCTTACCAAAAGGTTTGGATTGAACATAAGGAACTGAACAAATTTCAGGAGACTACATTATAAAATGAAAAAGTTGGGGTAGTGGCAGTCAAATTATTAGTTTTGAGAAATACCTACTGATGTCCTGTTATAAGTGTCACTCAATTCTGTGACATGCTTTTCTGTATGACCATGCTTGATATATGTCATTTTATCCCCCTCAAAAGAGAATGGACGATGAAACCAATTTGCAATGTTGCTGATTGATTTCATCGTTTGGAACTACAGTATATTCCATATAAGAATAAAGTAGATGGTATTGTTAGTAGATCCCGCTTTATACTAGAGAACTTACCACATACAAATATTTGAGAATGATTGCATAGAGAATGCGAATTCTCAGTGTATTTCTTTATATACAGTCTGTCCAAGATAAGGTTGAACAGCATGGGGATCTCGGAAACGGTAGGAGATACGAAGTCGTTTAAATGAGGAAAAAGTTGCGCATTCGGAGGCTCATATCAAGAGCCTTCGAAAATTTTCAAAATTATTTTTAGTTTTTGAGTTATATCGAAAAAAGTGAATTTTTGGAATATCTATTTTATTTTTTTTCTCCGTTATTATTAGATATACAGAAGAACTGAAAATACTTTTTCATAGCAACTTTTGATGAAGTTTAACGTGGTGATACCGATTTTTTCATGCGACGTTTCGTATCCGTAGAACCATCATCAACTTTTGTTTTTTAAATACGGTCCTGATAATTTTTTCACAGATTCTGAAAGGTTTTTTCATTCTGAGCACTTATTGAGCAAATGGAAACTTAGAACGCGAATATCTTCGTAGTCGTTTGAATTAACCCTATCAAACCCGGTATCGTTGAATTCGTCATAATAATCCCTAACCGATTATGGAATAAAATACAGGGTGTCCCATTGAAAAATCGAAAGTTAGGGTCGTTTCTGGTGAGACCGGAAGTGATTGAACAAGAATTGTTTTGTCAATTAATGAACAATTTGATATACTTCCTACCCACCAATTTTCGAAATCTGATCTCGGATGATTCAGAAGATACAGCACTGGCCGGTTTTTGTGCACTTCTCTGTATATATCACTTTTTTTTTGATGAATTGATGGTCGAAAATAAGGTTATAGTATATCGGCATTCGTGACTATAGTAGACCGTGAACGGTCTCTTTCCAATGTTTGTTATAACTTCTTTTAGTCCCATTTCTTTTCATAAGATATCACATAGTCATGGCTGAAGAGGTCTCCGAAGACTCGACAGTCGACTCGGACGTGCTCTCCCGACTAGAAAACCAGCTCCAGAAGCAGCTGAAGATGTGCCTGACCACCCGGGACCACAACAAGGCCATCGGAGACGTGGCTGGGACCAACAAATTCGAGCGGTTGGCCTTGAACGTCACCAAAGACCTGGACGTCCTTCGAGTGGCTAAGAGGACTTCTAGAGGACCGCCGAAGTTCCATTACGAGATGAAGAGTTTCGCCATTGTGAAGAGCTTTCCGGAGATAATGGACAATCAGATGGAAGTTAGCGTTAACAGGGGGATCAATTATCAATCGGACAATCCGAAAGATATTGATACCTACGTCAAGTTGGAGTTTCCATTTCCACAGGTAATACCAATCATTATGTTGGTTTTTTCATTAGTGTTGATGAGTATCTATAGTAGGAATTTTAAACCAACGTATTTTGGTCTTAGAAACAAGAATTTGATTGTTGTCATTCTCCTGTTGTTCAACAAATTGTCTCCTTTATGATTCAGAATGACATTGATCACAACCACAATAAGACAACATGAAATAAAATCAAGCTCTCTGGACTAATAAAAGAAGCTAACCAGCTGGGTAACATATCATTTGATTAAGATGGTGTAACGACCTTTATTTCTGGGGCCCTTACTTTGGCGCTTGTTGAACAGACTTCTGGAACCTGTCGGGGTGTCTCGGGCGCCAGATTGTTTATGAGGTGGTTTGCTCCACCTGCTCTGCACAAAAATATTTTTGTACAGAGGCCCAAAGTAGCACAGTGAAGAAGACACCGAGGGTGTCTAGTGACCTAATAGCCATCTTATATTTCATCCATGGTCATTATATCCGCATATTATTATGTCAATGGCTATGCATCCACGTTTCCTATAACTTCTTCTCACATATTCGTAGACATTGCAGTCTTCAGGAACGAGAATACCCGAAGAAAACCAGCACCCGAAACAAGCGAATTTCAAGGTCATCATCTAACTTTGCGATGACGTTTAGCCATGGGTAAAAGATTTCTAACACATGGCTCAGATTGAAAGTCTGTTTCCCTATTGTTAAGTGTCATCGTAACGTCACCTGAAGATCTTGAAAGCCGCCAATAAGCGGTATCTTTGAGAGGCAACTCGTTCTTCTTCTTAATTTTTCATTGAGCGAATGGTACATTGAGCTGTTGGTCTGATTGCCACTTCACGACTCATGTCAATCTATGTGAAGGTGGACTTTTGTTTTTGTTCACAAGTAATCGTCAAGAAAATATTCTTTCTAGGAGGAAAGTCCATTTAGGCCGAGTTAGGTTAGATTGTTCAAAAGATGTTCTTTTATAGTTCTCAAGTACATATTATCGTGTACAGTGTCCAGTGTCCATTTCATGCTGTTCATTCATCAAGAATTAGATCACAGAGTATTTCCAAGAACATAATTTCATATTTGCTATTTGAATAATAGTATAAAAGGTCTGTCTGATTTTTTCAAGGACACACCATTTAGTGATAGGACATCCACAGTAAGGAACACAAATAATCCAGAATACCAGAAAACATTTGTTATCCCAATACAGAGGAATTCAAGACAATGTCAAAGAACATTTAAAAGGCATGGGATCAAATTTGAAATATTTTCCAAGGGGTAAGTTCATAGGCAAACATTTTTTTGCTTTTGTGCATGTACATTGTACATACATTATTCTCAAAACATTGCATTGGACAATCCTCAAAAAGTAGGTACTTACCTATATTGAATGATGTATTTGAGCAAAACTGTTTGATAAATGTTTGGAGATACTGTTCCAAAACCAACAAATTTTGATGCAATATCTGCATTATACCGGGAGTCCAGTCAATAATAGAAAATCATTCATTGAAAAAGATTTTCCTGACTCTGTAATAGGATGAAAGATTCACCCATGCTCTATATGAATATAATAATTTACTTGATAACATAAAAATCCTAGAAATATAATCAAATTCAAATATGAACTCAACATTTATTTTCTTCAACTTATATAAAACCCATTAATATTGGTTTTCGTTTACCAATTTCAGATAGATTTGTACACATTTGATATCCAATGATTATATTGTTTATAAATTCGTTATTATTGCTATCTACTTCCTTATAACGGAAGTGATTTTTTTATTAATTTTGAATTTTCCAATAAAAAATCAATTCAAATCAGACAGATTTTGACTAGAAGAATGAAATAGGAAATAAATAAATAAATGCATCATCAATTCAAAACCGGAATATACTTTTTGGTGATTGAGATTCTTCCTCATACGAGTTTTGTCTTTCATATCACCCCTATTTTCATGAGTTGCAAAGATTCTTGCATGATAAAGTCAATTTCATTTGCATAGATCTGTCAAAATATGATACGCTTTTTTTACTTTTGACATCATATTTGATTCCTGATATGAGATAATATTGAGTACAATGATGATCTAGATTCTAGACTATGCAAAATAATATTCATATCTTACAATTCCATATTTTTTCAAAATTTTTTGGTCGATTTTTAGTTGATGAAATCATCAATAATGCCATGATAATTTTCAAACGGATAGAAATTCACCGCGAGTAAAAACTGACGTCACGATTACATAAGTAGTGGCAGATCATAGCACAGTTGACATGTGTCGAAATAATAGTCATTCAAACATTCTCAATTATGTATCGGTAATATTACTATTTAGCAATACAAAATCAATTGTCTCAAAATGTTTCCTCATGATGTGTGGCTTATTGCTTATATATTTGTGTTAATAGTAATTATATCAATTCACACTAGAGGACATTTGAACCGATGAACGTGACAACACGACGCGCACGACTTGTGGGCGTGGTCTCGTCCCTTCTCAGCAATCAGCACAATGTTGCCAAGTCTCCAACATTCACATGGTATTTTGTTATGGAGAATAAGAAATATTTGGACATGCTGGTTGCTAGAAATAGTCAAGAATGAACTATAATATAATGGGTTCCCCCTTCTATGTTTTATTCAACGACAGAACATCTTTTTGATAGCTTGATTATAATTGGTGACTTGACAACCTTGCTTCGTGAGTGGGAATGGAAGATTATCTGACCAATAACGAAACAGCATAAAAGCTGACGTCACCATTTATTCGACGTATCGCCAAATGGTGGCCATGAAATGAACTCCGAAATTCAACAATCTCTACTAACGCATACACTTATTATTCAAATAAAAAAGCGTGAGGAGTGTTGCAAAAATTAATTTAGGTGTCTAAAAACAAAGTGGAGAATTGAATGCCAATAATTAATTATAAGTCCACTCGCCCATTATCATGTTCATCATTAGTATCTCAAAATTACCTAATTATGAAACTCACTGATAGATCTGTTCAAATTTCGAATAAATTCTCATCTTGAAATTGAAGTAGATGTATTTTTGTAGTAAAAAGATTTTCCAAATCAGAATGGTATATTCTTTAGTTCATAACAAATTTCCAAGGGGGTAATCATATCATCATTATTGTTTTTCATCAATATGCAGAACTCAATTGAAAGTACGGGTGCTATGTAAGCAAATGCTAGCTGCTGTATCAGCGCTAGCAACTGCTTTGATTGTTTCAGCGGGCTGTTCAGGAGCGATTCACTGATAGGAACTGTCAATGTCAAGTTGCAGCCATTGGAGACACAGTGTGAAATCCATGATAGCTTTGATGTAAGTATCCGAATTTTCCAGAATCAATATAACATGATACCTTTTTGAAAATATTGCACAAAGATCCATAAAATTCCCGTGTCCACAACTCATTTTCTCTCAGTATAAAAATAAATTGATTTGAAATAAGGGAGAATATTGTTTCCAAGAGTTATATTTTAGTGAAAATACTTCCCTATACTCTCCATAGTTCACTATGATTTCTTCTGTTTTCGTATTGTGAGATAAATTTGTTTCATTTTAGTTAATGGATGGCAGAAAAAAGGTTGGTGGGATGCTGGAGGTTCAGATTAAATTAAGATCACCCATTGTCACACAACAAGTGGAGAATATCCAAGAAAAATGGCTCATTATAGACCAGTAACTCAATAATATGGAATGATCCAATCATTTAATACTTGATATATGCTTATATTTGTATGTACTAGCACACATTGTATATTTTTATCAAGACAAGTTGTGATGTTTTCTCTAACTATAGGTTTTAAATATTTAAAATGTTCATTGTTAAAAATGTTCAGAAAAGATTTAAAGAAAATAAATATGACTTTTATTGATTCATTGGTGTTTTTGTAAACATTTCAATTTCACAACCCAACATAAGAACACAGCATGAATGTGATAAATAATGTGATCAGTAGTATGAAAATTCCTACCCAAACTGGCATTGTTCCTAAAAAACAATAAAAATCAGTTAGGTATCAGGATCACTGTTAGAACCTGGACAAAATGAAGATATCCCAAAAAACTCTAGTAAACATTTTTGGCATGCTAATTCTTTTTTCAAACTTTCAATTTCAAACAGTAAGTATCTATTTTATTCAGTATTTCTTTGCAATTGCCCCCAGATTGAAACTTGAGTCACAAGAAATTAACTTTCTGGGATTTTCCAGGTTTGTCCAGCTAACTTTAATTTGATTTAGACTTACTTCTATATGGCAGAGTATGTATACAGACATGGTTATCCACAGAAATTGATAGAACAGCACATTCAACAACACTGGATACTGTTCTATTTTCATTATGTACAGGTAAAAACTCTAAACCAGTAACAAACATGGAATGTGCACCAGAAACATTCAATATTCTCTGTAAAAAAAAAACATGTTTTGAGTATGAGATGAAAATTGCTAAGGCAGTTCCAAAATATATCCACTGGCATTTTAGTTGGGTCTTTGATATGATCCCCCATCATGGAAGTAAATAAATATTTCTGTATTTTATCAACATTTATCTGGTGAAACCTCAGGTAAAACCTAAATATGAGAATTCTTAATAATACTGAACTTTCAACATATTTCAACACCAGTGGCGGCTCGTGACTTTCATGACAGAGGAGGCTGAATGATATGAGATTTAATGTGAAAAACAACTCTCTACTCACCCAAATCAATAGCTTCAATGATATTCTGTTCACCAGTTAACCTGAACTTAATACTTGAAGAGATGTGTTCCTGTGATCCAATCTGCGAGGCAAATTTTTCAAATCATTATATCCTAATCGCCCCCAACATGATGACTTATCGGTTGAAAATAATATACGCAGTACCAACAAAATAGCTTATTCCTTACCTCAGATCGCGTCAACCAGATATATTTTTATAATTATCAGAATTGAACAAACGATTTTGTTTGTTACCTGTTACAATCAGATTTTTTAATTCCTGTGTCGGACGTTTGTTTTTCAAAATCAATTTATCTTCACCAAAAAGTATTTCACTAAATTGCAATCGTTTAAAACACTCATTTTTCAGAAATTCATAGAGCCCCTAATCATTAACCTAACATAAATATAAACAATGCACTCGCGTTTGTCCGCAATTCGCGAAGCGACACGACAAACACGTGCTATTCCGGCGTATTCGGGCATTTGCATTGCGCGCGTAGGTTGCGCGCGTGAAGGAGTCTAGCCTCCTATAGATGTTGCCAAGTTGAATATTTTACGCGTGATTTGCAGACTTCAACGTGTGATGCGTGGGCAAGCACTGTTGCCAATTCAAAAATATGTAACTAAAAATAGGAAATAAAATCAAAATCCATGTATTTTGGTGTCCTTTTACTGAGAAAGTATAGATAATATTAGTTTAAGGAAAATCTCTGAGGAAGCTCAGCCTCCGTTGCCTCCTCTGAGGAGCCGCCACTGTTCAACACTTGCATCACTAAATGTGTATTCCTATTTCAAATATGAGTACTCATAGATGAAGGTAGAAGGAGAAAAAAAAATATTTTCTTGGAAGTCAGGTAGTAAATAAATACCCTGAGACCTTATTTTTGAAATCCAAAAAACCCAGGAATCCCAATGTATTGAGACATTTCTTCAATACCTTGTTAAAATGAAAAGGTCAGAGGGTATGAAACAATTTTTGCATTAGGGATAATTACAGGTTTCAAAGATTGTCTATGAATATTTTCCCAGCTCATTTTTTGAATTATTCATGTCAATTTAACATGGAACAGGTATTTGCCATTCTTCAATTTCATTGTAAATCATAAGGTGAGTCATATTATATCCTATATAGCTGAGGCAATGAATTGATGGTTTTTCAATTTATAGTCACTATCATAAATGAAATAAATTTCCTAACCAAAAAACAAATCTTGAAATAGGTTAGAACTTACCTGTCTACTCTAAAGGACACATTTATTTTGGAGAATGCTCTAAGTCCAAGTAAAAGTTCAAAATTAGATTCAAAAACACTATATCCAAGAAACATTGATCTCTGTCAATTTTATTCTATAATTTGTCCTGCTTATGTGATGAATAAATCCTTACTAGGGCTTCAGAATGTTTATCAATAAGGAAGTTATTTTGTATATGATATAAGTTGATAATAAAATGACATACCTGCAAACTAAAAGATGCATAAATGGATACAGATCCACTGAACATTGTCCCTACAGCAACAAATCTACCATCATCTCTAACTGCAAGGGCACAAATACTTTCATCAAATTCAGCTATCCTTCTTAGGGCACCAGTGTCAGGTAGCCACTGTTGAAGGTATGATTTTTGCTTCCTTGCTAAACCAGTAGGGTTCGTCAGTGTGTAGAGGGCTGATTTTTCCTCACCCTCAATTCTACCAAATCTAAAAATCATTTTCTATTCATCCTCAACTCTTTTATGTCAGCTGCAACTTTTGAAGGAATTCATTTGGAATAAGCAGTATCAAACAGTCAATTATTTCTAAGGAACTTTTACTGACCTACATCTTTTATAGATGTACTTAGAGCCCTCTGGTTGTTTCCAAGATACTCTGCTATGTTCTTTGCCTTTGACACAATCCCAAAGAATAGCTAAGCCATCTTTTGCAACTGTGGCCAAATAGTTTCCATACTGACTGAAATCAATGTCATCAATTTCTTTGAGGTGAGCTTTCAGTTTTGTTAAAGGCTGCAAACTTGGAAACTTCCAAAGTCTAATGACACCATCTGTACCACCTATGGAAATATTTATATTATTACTGTAACTGTCAGACCAATTGGAAATCAGCCTCCAAAATTGTAGCTATTACTTTTAGAAACTCCAACAATTTATCTCTTGAAAGTGTAATTATACATAGAGGAATACAATACATAAAAGCAAGTAAAGTCCCATTGATCTTAGTTATACATTACCTACCTGTGGCTAATAGTTTTCCATTGTGACTAATTCTAGCAACCCTTGACAGTGGTTCTGAGCCATCAAAATCTGTCTGAATACTATCTCCAGGGCTCATTACAAATTGCAGTCGTTTATTAACATTTTTGTTTTTATCTGTCTTCTCATTTGAATTAGATTTTCTTTGTCTACTATCAGAAACATTATTGCCAATGTTTTCCACATCATCTTCAGTTACAAGCATGCTGTTGACATTATAGAGCTGGCAGTGGCTCTCTTGACCTGCTACAACGTAAGAACGTTTGTTATCAGAGTATGCAGTACTGTACATGACTACATTGCCCCCAGTTTCATGTCTTGTCACTTCTTCTGCTATAAACTTAGTACCATCATGAGACAGTTCAAATATTTCCTAGAATGTAAAACTAGACAAACGAAATCATCAGCATTGGAACAAATCTTACAAAGCCATTTGCAACTCCTGTTTTGGAGGTTCCTCCTCCTCCACCAACAATAACATATCTGGTTGTCAACATCTGGACCGTGTACAGAGGAAAGTTTATCCGTGCAAGGATATCCTTGGTGTTTTTTCTTCTTTGGCCCATTTTCGGTCAGTTTTTTAGCCAATTGTCGAAGTGTTTATTTAGAAATTAAATATTATACTCATATTATACTACAAGTTAAACCATTTCCACGTATATAACCTATAAAGTTTGACAACATGACAAATGTTTTTTAAACAGAATCTTCTTCATAATGTATTGTTTGGCACCTTGCTCGTAATGTTTTACATCTCAATTTTCTTATTAGAGAGTTGAAGTAATCACTGTACGTAGACCTCCACGTAGACGTTAACGTACGAAAAATAACGCTTACGTATTGTCGTTAAATTGAGTTGAAGTCGCCACTTTGGTCGTCACTGTCATCATAACGTAATAATACATTTTGTTTTCGGTTTGTATTGGTCATTTTTGGTTGTGTTTAGATTCGAACATTTATTCCTGTCAAAATTAGAGGACTCTTTGATGCAGAACTCGTTGGTGATCTCGAATTTGATAATTTTGACTCATCGGCATATTTCGAGTATAATAGTTTGGTTAACGTACGTTGATATTTAAGGTATACGTGAAGGAACGTGAGATAACGTACACCCGTAAGCCCACTAACAACGCAAACGTGAAGAATTGGAAAATGCGCATGCGTAGCTGTCAATTTCTACGTTTACGTTAACGTTCATGACAACACTTCAACACTCTATTATCTTCTTGTTTTGAGCTATTCGTCGACACTGGCTCGATCACGAAATTCGTTTCCGCTAGATGGCGCACAGAATTTGAGTGCGCAAGGTTGGTATAACTGATGATAATTTGTGAGCCGAAAAATCGAAGGCATCTTAGTTATTTGCCAAAGGCCAATGAAAGAAGAAGGCCGTCTTCAGGACTGGTCATATTTCGAAACAAAATGTTCATTAAACATTGAAGAATATCACTGAAATTAATTTGTTGTCCAAAAATCTATTGATAAGGCAACACAGTGAAAATAGATGATACACTACGAACTACTATGGCCGCTTTTATACTTTATATCAGTTCAACTGAAAAAAACATAGATGTCGCACCTGTTGTGCCTTTCGCGAGGCAAATTCAAACTATTTCCCAAATGATACAAGGAGGAATGCAAAGGAACCAAACCAATGATCTATGAAATTATTATTTGTAAGTACCAGGTAGAGCCATTTTAGAGTTATAGAGCAATAAATCCGATTTGAACATTTTACTTGAGAACCATGTAGTGTCCAAATTAATAAGCAACTTTGTACTGAACGTGAAAGACATTTTGAGGAGACCCTGTATATAATATGTATATATCTATATTCAGGTAGATACTAGCTGTATCGGTATAATACTATCAATAACCCAAGGTAGGTGATAATATGGTGGATTCATAAACTCAACTGAACTAATAAAAAAAAATTCCACAGAGTATAGGCATACCTATATATACCTCGTCTCCCTATCCTACCTAGGATTTTTCATTGATTTTTCAATGGATTTTTTCATCTTATTCGTTAGGGGCGTGATCCGTGTATGGTATCTGATGTATAATGTAGTATGTCTGAACTGTATAATAAAACAGTTAACACAAATCACTCCTTTATTGAATCCTGAAATATTTTCCTTGCTCTCTCTCAGATAGCACCTCATTGTGAGAATATTGTGAGAATATTCGAAATGTTCCACAAGAATATTTCGAGAAGGTTCTCATAATCACTTTGTGCTGTCTGGGACATAGGGATTTCCTTTCGTGCGCTCCAAAAGATAAAAAAACAACTAAGAAATGAAAGTGACCATCTTCCATCTTTCATATTTTACCATACCATGGTCCCATTTAGCTCCATAGGGGCGCAAGCGATTTTCAAATGTTGCATTTGAAGAATTGCGGATAATTCGCAACTTGCCACCTATACCTATACTTATTACTCATAACTTATTATACTTAAGCATTTCCTATACTTACCTTACTCAAACCTCCATCGAATTCAATATGACAATAATAAGATTCAAGCACCTATGCAACATATCACCCATTCACCCAACTACTCAGTTACGAAAGCTTTGATGCCGCCTCAGTTACGTACCCTGAGGAACACCACCGCGTATACACGGAGAAACATGTATCGTTGGTTTCACATATCACCCGTCCACAGCCCAGCGAGCACAAACATATGGGACGTTGTGGGAAATTTTGAAAATGTTGGCATGAAGATGTTTTTTTGAAACGTAATATGCACTTCCTAAAGAGGTATTTGAAGGATATTGAAGTGAAGTACTGTTTTTGTTCTTCTGTGGCATTTTTTTGTGTGCCTATTGAGAGGTATCCCTATATATTATCACAGTTTAGAGAATGATATTCTCTAAACTGTGATATTATTATGATTTCCAAATTTCCATGCACCTCATTATAAATCTACAATCAACAGAGGGCTGATACTTTTTTCCAACACACCTATGTTTTCTAATTTATTTTGTACCTTTTCACTTCATGGGTGATGTATATGCCATGCACTTTTCTTTTTCCCTAGAACGCTAGCAAAAGCAAGTGATGTGGCATGTATAGGTATAAAGAATTAATCAAGCCTGAATTTCCCTACGAAATCATGTTCATATTAGTATCCTTAAAATTCTAATTGCCCGACCGTGTCGGCACAAGCACAAATTTGTATGCACAATTGTATATTATACAATTAGGGAATTAGTATAGTCAGGGCCGGATCGGCTTATTATTTTCCGAAAGAAATAATACGAAATAATTATCTACTGTAGAATTTCATGAATGTTGAACTTGATATCTTCTTCCGCTAGTTTATTTTGAGAATTAAAAATTACAGTTTGACATTTCCTTAAGCTTTAATATATAGCTCCATTGCAATGAGGGAAAGAAATCTTGTCGGGAATAAAGTAATATAACGTAAGGTCTACAAACCTAAATTATTTTGATCTCTATAGAATGTTTTTTGAACACGGGGCTACATGAATCATCATTTTTATAATGGAACACCCTATAATATTTCCCCTATTTTGATTTATTGCCTACACAAACGTGTTGTCATTTTTTCAATTCTTCTGCAGTTAATTAGGATCATTTCGAAATATTGATAATAATAATGTTAATTCCATCATCTGGCCAAAGTTTCATCCAAAATTCGAGAATTTATCAGTCTACATAGATATACAGGCATTCAAAAGTAACAGCTGCCCACATCTAGAAGCAAAATTTCCAGGTGTCCTGGTTTAGTTCTCGACCACTTTGTATATATATATCAACATTCTCAACATATTCTATCAACATATATCTATCTACACTGTTTTATAATCTTACTCTTCTGTGAAACATTGAAACACAAGCTCACTTTTTTATTTCTTCACAGAGGAATCAAAGTATTGAAATAGTTTTTCACAATATTTTGACAAACGAATCGTGTTTTTTGCGCTATTCATTGATTCAAGCATGCCTTCGCATTGTGCTGTTGTACAATGCACAAAAAATGCAGCGAGAGACGAAGGAATATGATTTTTCAGGTCAATAATAATCTCACATAGTTTTCATTATGAAATTCTGTCATTTCTTATCAATAGTTATTTAACCAACTAGTGTATTAATGAGGGCGATTAATGATCGAAATATTTCAACGTGCGAGCGAAGCGAGCGCGTTAATGTTCGAGATCATTAATCGCCTTTCAATATACAAGTTGGTTACAAAATTTTTCCGTCGACTATATTTCTCATTTCTCCTGCAATGAAGAAAACTTGGTTCGCGAATTCATCATTCATCTGGAAACTGCTGAGAATCACCCAGTAGCCTTGTTGTTGTTATATTAGTGACATTTGACATTTGTCGAAATGATCAACATAGAAAATAAATTCCTTGTGTTAGAAAACAGGGATTAAAATCGTGTCAGAAACTTGGAAAGGCGAACCCGTTAACGGAAAATCTTCGATGAAATCCATATTTTCGATTTCAATGCAGATTCCGTAAGTTATAGCATAAACATTGATGTATGTTTGGTTGCCTATGATACAATCGTGCATTAATAGACAAATCGTTCATTAATAGGGGTCATTAATGAACGATTTCATATACATTAAACTCAGTTGTTAATACGAGGTCGACGGAAAAATTCCTACTGCCACTTCTGCAATAGAAGCTACTACTGCTGAAAGATTGAAAATATCTACAACACACATGATCATATTTCGTCAGCATGTCAGACTAGTCCTCCCGTTTGATTGCATGAATTCAATCTTCTTGCATTATTTTAGAAATTTCACGAGTATTTCTATTATTTCCTATTGAAGAAGGTATTCCGATGAGAAATCAGAGAAATTACCAAATTTCAAAAATGATGACTATATGTGAGTGACTATAGTAGGTACTTACTTTTAAATCATAATGTACCTACCAACCGGGTTCTTTCGTCTCCCGCTGCATTTTTTGTGAATTGTACAACAGCACAATGTGATGGCATGCACGATTTAATTAATAGCCGAAAAACACGATTCGTATGCCAAAATAATTGAGAAAAACTATTACAATCACTTGAAAACAAATAATAAAAGTGAAGTTATGTTTCAATGTTTCACCTCTAGGGTCGGTCATCTGACAGTACTTGCACCCAATCCATTCCCAAGAACTTATAACCTCTAAAAGTTCAACAAAATTCTAACAACCACATGTTCCACGAACATTGTAGGAATAATTTCCTTTCGTGCGCTCCAAGAGATAAAAAAATTGCATCAAGGACCGCTTTTCAGTACTGATTTCACTCGAATGAGGCCCTGTTCTCGCAGAAGGAATTCTCCGGGTTTGCATTGTTTAATTGTTTATTTCACTACCGGATTTTCTCTCTTCTTCCTTGTTTTCTGATACCATTCGGAACCCTTTCAACGGAATGAGTCGTTGCGAGCGCTTTGTTCTTTTGGTAACGATCTCAAATTTTATTATTATAATATAATCCGGTATTAGTATACTTAGGTACCTACTCTGGTTATTTTCATTAATCACACATCCTTGCTGGAAAATTATCCTTAGTCGTTGTGAGAGTTTATTCGTCGGGGCTGTATGGGTCTCCAGTTACCGCTTAAAATTTGGGAAAATATTCCACCCTTTCAGAAGTCGACGATAATAAGTTGGGTTGTAACTCTAATTGGAGAGAATATATTTGTGA